GCATATTCCTAATTGCACTATTTGTAGCATTATGATCCATATCTTTGCATTGAAAATGTAAGACGTAGTGAAAAAAAAAAGTATCCGTAATTGAACGACCAAAAATGTTCAGTTATTGCACAGGTTTTTTCTACCTTTTTAGTTCACCAGATACAAAGTATGCATTGTTTAATATTTATCCCTGTACTATATAATGGTTTGCAGCTGATTTCACATGGGTCTTGTGTCTTAAGCTCATCCAGAGTGTTGGGTCTTGTGTCTTAAGCTCATCCAAAGTGTTGGCTCTTGTGTCTTAAGCTCATTCAGAGTGTTGGGTCTTGTGTCTTAAGCTCATRCAGAGTGTTGYGTCTTGTGTCTTAAGCTCATTCAGAGTGTTGGGTCTTGTGTCTTAAGCCCATCCAGAGTGTTGGCTCTTGTGTCTCTCAACTTTCTCTTCACAATATCCCACAGGAAAATGGATGGATGGATGGATGGAATATCCCACAGATTCTCTATGGGGTTCAGGTCAGGTGAGTTGGCAGGCCACTTGAGCACAGTAATACCATGGTCAGTGAACCATTTACCAGTGGTTTTGGCACTGTGAGCAGGTGCCAGGTCGTGCTGAAAAATGAAATCTTCAACTRCATAAAGCTTTTCAGCAGATGGAAGCATGAAGTGCTCCAAAATCACCTGATAGCTGCATTGACCCTGGCCTTGATAAAACACAGTGGACCYACACCAGCAGCTGACATGGCACCACAGACCATCACTGACTGACAACTCTTCTTGTTGTGCAGCATTTTCTGCCACACTTTTCCCTTCCCACAGACTTCCCACTGAGGTGCCTTGATACAGCACTCTGGGAACAGCCTCTTAGTTCAGAAATGTCTTTCTGTGTCTTACCCTCTTGAGGGTGTCAATGATGGCCTTCTGGACAGCAGTCAGGTCAGCAGTCTTACCCATGATTGTGGTTTTTAGTAATGAACCAGGCTGTGAGTTTTTAAAAGCCTCAGGAATCTTTTGCAAGTGTTTAGAGTTAATTTGTTGATTTAGATGATTAGGTTAATAAGTCGTTTAGAGAACCTTTTCATGATATGCTATTTTTTGAGATAGGGATTTTTGGTTTTTCTTTACTTTTTTGCCAAAATCATCAAAATTAAAACAATAAAAGGCTTGAACTACTTCAGTTGGTGTGCAATGAATCTAAAATAAATGAAAGTTTAATGTTTATCAGTACATTACAGAAAATAATGAACTTTATCACAATATGCTAATTTTTTAGAAGGACCTGTATGCGTTTGTCCAATCATCTGTTCCTCAGAGAAGCGGGGCCCTCGTAACAAAACGACTGAGCATCTCAGCTCTGAGCAGCTGATTTACAACATAAACAGGAATTACTCCACGCAAGTTTGAGATTCCAAGGTTAAGTCCTTTCTGAATATTTCCACTTACTGGAAGGATAGTCCCTACATTCTTGCCACTTTTGGTTCAGACGAGCCCTATATGGGCTGACTGTCCGACCAGCTTAGCCAAGAATGCTCAGTTCCTCCTTCAGTTTGTATTTATAGAATTCCGATTTGACATTTCCTGTAAATATCCACTGCTTTTTGGAAATTCCTACATGGTTTCTGGACTGATGACACCTGAACGCAATCATGTGGCGCTAATTCAGTTTAATGCCAGTTCTGCAAAAACACTGATTGCTCAAGCTGCATTTAGAATCATGCATTGCCTGTTCGTTTTTCTCTTTAGATTCATTTTTGATCTGCGTTTTCTCAGGTTTTCTTTTAACTCAAACCACATTTAATGCAATGTGAGAGTGAACTCTGCAGACTGGCTAAGCTGAAACACAAACTGACAGCCACAACTGAACAGTGTTCTCTTGTATATTAAATGTGCTTTTTGTGAGTAAGATAAAACAACCAGCCTAACGTTTATATTATAATGGTAAATTTAAGTAAGCAGCACATAATTCTTTGTAATAGAGGCTATGTTGGGTGATTATTATGAAAAGCTGGCTCACAGAAAGCTTTGGTTAATTCTATAAATTACTTTTCATTGTATATTCTACTTCATGAGATATGTAAGTGCTAAACATCTATAAATGCTAAACTTAGCACAAAGAGTACAGAAATTTGTGTTTGGTAGATAATGACTTGGCAATAAGAAAAAAATTGTATAGGTCTTCTGGACGGGTTCTTCTCTAATGAAACGTTTCGTCTCTCCTCCAAGAGACTTCTTCAGTCTGAGAGTTTCAGGCAAAATTCAGGCTTTTAAGCCCTGCCTCCATGTGACTGATACTCACATCACATGGCTATCGTTGACACCTAATTAACACTTATTGTTAACAGGGGGTGGAGTGATACTGGCAATAGCAGCACTGTAGGAGGGGGACAACTGAAAACGGAGGCCTCCACCTCTGTTTAATCATGGACGGTCTTTCTTCACAAAAATGGCTTCTTTTACTCCTCTCTCAAACCAACGTTCCTCTCTATCAAGAATGAGAACATCCTCATCTCTGAAAGAGTGACCGCTGGCCTGTAAATGAGTGAAAACTGCAGAGTTCTGGCCATTAGATGTAGCTCGTCTGTGTTGGGACATTCTTTTGAACAGTGGCTGCTTTGTTTCCCCGATGTATAACGGGTCGCAGTCCTCCTGGCACTTAACAGCATATACAACATTGCTCTGTTTGTGCCGGGGCACCGGATCTTTGGGGTGAACCAGCCTTTGCCGTAATGTGTTTTGGGGTTTGAAAGCCACTGGGACATCATGTTTAGAAAATAAACGTCTCAGTTTCTCCGAAACACCCGCAACATACGTATGTTGCAGTAGAGCTGATTATGTGGGTTGTTGCGCACAAGAAAAAACCTGGCAACTCTTTTCAGCCAAACAGCTTATTTTGATGTTGACACTTGATTTCAGCTTCTGGTACCCCCATTTGCTGTCAATCAGGTGCCCGCTATAAGATTTATTGTGAAGAAGCATTGTTACAACAAAGAAATGATCCAACAAACAAATTTCATTACTTTTTGAAAAAAAAGTATACATTGTTCTTTTAGAATAATCAAAAATATTTAAATCCTAAAATAACAAAAACAGCTGTGTGTATGAACACAAGAAACTGAGAATATAAGGAAGAAGCCTTCAGTTAAGATCCGGCGAGGTTACCTCAAAGAAACGATTCTTGAGCTTACATGTGTGGCAGGGTTGGTCTGTCGCTCCATTTCTGGAATAGAAGATCTGTGATTTGAATCCTGGGTCAGATGTTTTACCATGGACAAATGTCCCACATCATAATCCACACCATCTGAGAGTTAAGGCCTGATAAAATAAATACAGGGGCAGCTAAGCTGAGATGGTGCTTTTGCCATGGCTAAGCACCTTCTGAAAGTCAGATATGATGTAGCAGCGGGTGCTACAGCTGTTCTACACCACAGCTTTGAGAAATGTTCGGCTGTGAGACAAGACAAAAGACCACAAGCCATCAGGAGAATCCCCCCCCAATGGAGGAGGAGGCTAGAATAAGATCCTGGCAACACAGAGAGAAATTAACTTAAATACTGCAGACATGCAACTCAGCATGAAGAACTGGACTGCACCAAAGACACCATTTTGGAGTTACTGTATTTATTCATGTATAATACTAGAAATTTAACCCTAAAAAACATCCATAAAGTGGAGGAGGAGCATTATACACGGGTTATTAATAATTAGATATTTAATCCTTTTTAGCTAAAAAAAAAGATCGTATTTTACATGAATAAATACGGTAACTTGTTTCAAGATGATCAGTGCAGCTAATAAAAGTTTGCAAACACAAACACGGCTACAGCTTAGTAATTTTTGCCAATAATCCACTAAAATATGTTGAGGTAGTATTTGAGTCATCTCCATCACGTACTCCGTGCGCTAACAGGTTGTGTAACATCTTTGTGTAAGTTTTGCAAGGTGGTGATTAATATGCATTCCTTCGAGGAATAATACTTTAAAGATGACTGTGTTTTTTTGACAGTAGTGCTTGAAGTACAAATGGATGCTGATTTTCTACACTTGTTTCAGACAGTGTGATCAAACCAAGCTGGAATGACCAAAGCATGAAGTCAACACTTTTCCATTTCTCTCACTCTTACAGAAAGTCATGCCACATGCTTCCCATTCCTGTCTGACGATGATGGATTCCAGACCAGTTCCGTAGACCATAATCCCCAATGAATGCTTTATGTCCACTGTATTTCTCCCATCACCTCCTTTGGTTTTCCCCATTCTTTTCATGTTTCATTCTTCCTAAATCTCCCCGTCTTTCTGAGAGATGGAAGGAATGTGTCAGGCCCTTTGCTTCTTTATGTGCTTGCTTTTTCCTGCTTGTTGATGTGAGGTTGAAACGTGCTGTGACTTGGGTTTCGTTTGTCTGAGTTAATCAGGGTTCTGATTAACGGCTGCACACAACTTGCACTTCATTAGGATTACATGTAGACAGAGCCTAAATAGGTCCATAAGGTGCCTTTAACCATAATCTGAGGATTCTCAGCCATTTTATGTTAATATTTTACTTGATTATTTTCCTTTGGTATAGGCCAATGCAACTGTGTGAAAAAAAAAAAAATCACCCAGAACATCTCACCCTATAATATCAATAAGTATTTTACCACAACATCCATTTGATTGTACCCTGAAGTAAACAACATTGATAATTGTAAAGAGTTAACACAATTAAAAACAAAATAAGAAGCAACATAACTAACATTTTTTCTGTATTACACTGTGTATTTGAAGTTAATATAGTTATAGGTAATATATTTTCCCACAAACTACAATAATTTACAATAACATAAAGCATTGCTTAGGCCTACAC